GAAACAGGATATGAGACAAGAATATAGACTATAGAAAACAAACAAACATAGACTTAGAAACACAGAAAACATAGAAAACGCGGAAGTAGAACTCACTGGATTTGAAACGGATTAGAAACAGCTGTTGAGTATTGTTAAGTACAGCTGCGAGACTTTGAAACTAAAATAAAGGTATCGTGACAAAAAGAGTCTTCATTGAAAGCTTAACAGACTTTGAAAATATAAATTAGCAAGAAGAGGAAATAGAAAACATTTATTAGAAGCGTACAGAAAGAAGAAGATTGTGTGAAGGAAAGACCCTTTGGTGAGAAAACTAAAGGACAGAACTGCAGGGAAACAAAAAGAACTGCTATAAATTGGGACTGAGATTGAGATTGATTACTGTAACCTGGGATTGAGACTGAGATTGACTTTACAAGCTGATCCAAAACATAGAAGAAGGACTTTCTTTTCTCACTTATAAACATCTTTATAGACCTTAATAGATATTAAAGGACTAAGGAACAATTAAGGAACAATTCTTGTTAGAGAAAACATTCACTTAAAGATAACAGAAACTATTTTTTTTTTTTGGTACATGGACACAAGAGAATCCACAAGGAGAAGAGAAAAAGTAAGAACAAATAAGAAAATAATAAATATAAGAATATAACAAATAAGAAATTAAAATAAATAATAAAATACTTCCTGTAACTACAGATAAAAATTGAATTTATATTCTATATAAACTGAATAAGACATAAAGGGAAATTACCTTTGTATTGAAAATATTCATTTTGTTATATATTAATTTACAATATATTATTGGTTTAAAATAATTGTATTGGTTACGATAAAGGGTGATAAATTGCGAAGATATACTTATATATTCAATAGAGAATTTTTGTTTATAATTTATGATTCAGACACTGTTATTTCGTTATATGTGATGTATGTTGGTTAATTTGGTCTTTAAAATAGTATATATATATATATAGTATATACACAAAAATTATACGATGTATATATTTAGTATATATATAGAATTTACTACTACTATTTAGATGGTAAAACATAAGATTTCATTACAACTAGATTGTTATAAGGGATATTAAATTTCAATTTTTGTGAATGCATTTAATATACATAATACAATATATATAAAACAACCACAATGGTGTAAAACGACACAATGGTGTAAGGTTAAGTTAAGGATAGCATAAATTTGAGTTTTTCTATACTATAATAGATATATTAATAATAATATTATATTAATAATATTTATATCCCAGACTTAATTTGATATCAACATTTTTTTAATGATTCTCTGTTGTTTTATTACATTGACTGATGTTTAATAAGGAAAAATTAGAGAAAATGACAACAACCAAGAAAGGATCCTCTCAAACATTAATACAATTTCCAACATCACGTAGGGGCTCAATGGAAGACACAATTAAAATCACTGATCCAAATATGTTGATTCTCGAAGAAATACGCAGAATAAGACAGGAAATGAAGGAAATGAGGAATGAAATGAAAGAAGATTTGAAGGAAACCTGTCAAGAATTGAGGGAAGAAATTAAGGATAGTAAACTTGAAATTAGAAAAGACCTGGATGAATTGGGGAAAAAAGTTGTAAAAATAACAACAGACATGAATAAAACACAGAAAGAAGTTGAAAAAATCAAAGATAAGACTCAACAATTGGAAAAAACAACGAAAGAGATACGTCAAGAATTAAATCAACATAGTTACAGGGATTGGACAAATGAACTACGATATAGGGATAGATGTATTAAGATAAGGGGAGTAACAGAACAGAGAAATGAAGACCTAACAGAGAGGATCATGGCACCATTGGCACAATTTCTAGAATGCAACCTAGAATTATTATTATCTGATCTAGATAAAATATTCAGAATAAGCTCGATACATGCAAAAGAATGTAAAGTACCACGGGACATCGTTATAAGTTTCATCAGAACTTCTACAAGAGACCGTATAATAAGGA